TAAATTTGGTTTCTTTTGAACATCTCAGTGCTTTAGTTTCCTTAGATCAACGTTTTCTAGTACATAAGTGTTATGTTTTGTTGCTGTTGGGTGCCGTCCAGTTGATTCCAACTCATAGTGACCCCATGTGACAGAGTAGAACTGCCCTGTAGGGTTCTCTTGGCTGTAATCTTTATGGAAGCAGATCATCAGGCCTTTTCTTCTGTGGTGCCGCTGGGTGGGTTCAAACAGCCAACCTTTCAGTTAGCAGCCGAATGCTTAACTTTTGTGCCACCGGCCCTCCTTTGTAAGTGTTTTATACATACATGTAAATGTATAAAAACCTAAACCCATTGCCGTCAAGTTGATTCTGACTCGTAGTGACCCTACAAGACATAACAGAACTGCCCCATAGATTTTCCAAGGCTGTAATCTTTACAGAAGCAGACTGCCACATCTTTCTCCTGTGGAGTGGGGCAGGTTTGAACCACAGACCTTTCAGTTAGCAGCCAAGTGCTTAGCCACTGCACCACTACAGCTCCTTATCAGTGTTATACCCATAACCAAACCCACTGCCACTGAGTCGATTCTGACTCACAGAGACCCTATAGGACAGAGGAGAACTGCCCCATAGGGTTTCCAAGGAGCAGCTGGTGGATTTGAACTGCTGACCTTTTGGTTAGCAGCCAAGCTCTTAACCACTGTGCCACGAGGTCTCTGCTATAAGTATTATAGACCTTATAAATTAGAAACAAGGTATGAAAATAAGTGGCATTGAGGGGACAAAAGAAGATAGAGATGGAATAGGCAAAATACAGAAAAGGAATTTGTCTAATTTGATTGTATTGTCTCCAAATCGGTGTTGTGTAAAACATCAGAAAAACCTCTACATGGATAACTAGACTCAGGAAGGAATAATAGAAATTATTTGATCTTAACAACGGAGGTCAAGTTGCAAGCAAACACATCATCAATTATCATGGAAAAAGATAGAAACAAAGTAAATTATCACTTTCTAAAATATATTGATTCCTCTAAATACAACTGTTTATTGTTTTCTCTACTGTAGTTACTCTAGATATTCCTGTAGCGAGTCTCAGTCTCTGTCACTGTCTGAGACACAAGGTAGAGTTTTTTAAATAGCAAGAACTTTACAAAATTACTATAACTTAGGGATCCAGGTCCTTTTTCTTGCAAGCAGGGAAACTTGACTGAGAGGTAAGATGATGTCCGGAAATGTTTTTCGCCTTCTGTCTTTGTTGGAGACGTTTTCCTTCTGTTGGATCTTAGTAAGAATGTAATCTCAGTTCCACTGAGAAGGGGAGATCACAATGCCAGGTGTCAAATCCACAAATCAGCCCTCTCCTTAATTGCCAGAGTTTGACATGGCCCCGTGTTTGTCCTAGAAAACACTAAACATTCTTTTGTTATCAATGGGGAATTAAATTTCCTATGTAGACAAATCAATTTCTGAATTATAAGAGAAACAAATGAAAACATCACCCACAAAGGAAGGAAGGAGAGTGAGAAACCCTTGTTCCCACTTGAAGCATTTTCAGAGGACTCTCTTTCCTTTTCCCCTGCTCCTCCGTACTTCCACAGACCTTTTTCCTGGATGAAATCACCGCCTCGTTGTTACCTTCTCTGGAGACTAGACTTTGGTCAGCAATTCCAGAAAAGATATCTTAGTATCCTCCTTAAAGCAGAAGAGGTTCATGGGGGGACTACTGACGAGTGTTTTAAGCCATGTAGCTATTGTGTTTGGGCAGTTTTTGAAAAGGAGGGGGAAAAGAACTTCCTCAGTGGGAATCTAAGACTGTTTTAACACTTGCTTCCCCCCACCCCCAAGAGTAGGTGAATTGGCGTAGAGTAAAAAGACAAAAGACTAAGGAAGGAAAAGGAAAGAAAATATATTCTGTAGATGAGCCAATTTCATGGCGCTGTGCATTACATTTTACATTAAAACCCACCTTACAGCTAAAGCTTAATGTCTTGTCTGAAATTGGTGGCTGCAACCCTGGATTTTTACACACACGCACGCACACACCACCCAGGCGTCTCCAAGTTGTCTCAAAAGTGAAAAAATAACCTCCAAATAAGTTTAATTTTGATTAAAAAATAAACATGCCCACATATCCACTTTATTATTATTATTATTATTATTAAAAAGGGAAATGAGGCAGAGAAGTGAAAGTTGCAAAGAAATTTAAAATGATTATCCTGGAGACTTCAGCTGACTAGTTAAACCAGTTAAGAGAAGACCTGCATCCGTTTGATTTCGCTGTCACTTGCACTGCTCCCTGCAGACGAGAAAGACCACGTCACGTTTCCAGAGTATTACGCCTTTTCCTTGGTACTAAAAATGTATCTTTTAAGTTTGGAGAAAAGCTGCAGCTCCTTCTGATCTTTAGCATTTTCTAACTTAATAATTTCGTGTACCAAGAGTGTTTCAGCAGAAAATGAGCTTTGCATATTTACACATTTGTAACAGTCTAAGGCAGGCTCTGGAAACAAGTTCTTGCAACGACCTTTATTTTGAAAACTCCATTATTCTAAATGGAGAACAGCAGGTACAATGTAGTGTATGATAAGGACACTGAGTTAGGGGGAAAACTGTTGAGTAGATGACATTTCTTTTTCTTTGTCTGATTCCTACTAACCATGTACAAAAATATACATTATTTAATGTATTTCTCTCTACCTCATGGAAAGCAATATTTGAAAATTTCTACATGAAGCTAATTTACCATGAGGGATATAAAGCCCCTTGACTGGGTGTCCAGGTTCCTATGGGTAAAAAAAAGAACTTTTTTCTTTAGAACATTCACCATGTGGTGCAATCTGTCAGTCCACAAGGAGCGGGGAGAGATCCGTAGGGGCAGGAACGAGTCATCTCTGGGAGTCTCTGAGCTATTGACTAGGAACGGGAAAGTGGATCGGCTGAAGCGTGTAAAGGCCTCCCTTCTGCAACCCCCCACCCCCACCCCCGTCGTGACCCTGGGTGTATTAAACGGATGCTTTCTTTTTAGAAAGTCCGTCAGTTTAGGGGAGGGGAAAAACCAACCTTTTCAGAGATGGTTAGGATGCCATTCATTTTGTATTTTAATCTAACCTGCTGGTGATTTAATTTACATATTTCCAAGTGTATGCTCATATATTTGAGGACGTAAACTTATCAACCACTGTTTAATTTTGGAATGTGCCTACTTGCTTGACACAATATTTTACCATCTCAACAAATGTTTGGCCTTTTTTCCCACTTGACTGAAGAGAAATAAGTTCCACATGCTCCATTCACCTTCTTACGTGCATATGCTGGGAAAGACTGGATGTTAAAAAAAAAAAAAGAACTTTCCTCATGTTCCTCTCTGCTACATCTAAATCTGTTTACCAATTCAAAGCTGCTAAGGGGGAAAAAATCTGCATTCTCCTGCTAAATCAACTGGATGGCTAGAAACCCAACTGTAATGTAACGGGAAAAAAAATGATCAATTTATCTTCATGACAAAACATTCTTGAGAAGGTGTAAAATTGTTTTGCTCTCTATGCCAGTTCTCTTTTTTCTTCCTTTCTCTGTCATCCTTTTTTAACAGTTTTTAAGCCGATACTTTTTATAGTTCTATAACAGTTCTAATATTTTGTGACATTTTGTATTGTGACATGATAGATGAAATTGTCATCGAACTGACACCCTGTGCTGTTTATTCCTTAATTACAACCGCTAACGCTGTAGAGAAGTGCGTTCATCTGCCAGCACGTATTATGAAAACAACGTTATTGTTACCCACACCAACACCAACTCAACAGGAGATTTCCAAGATGGCAGTTTTGAGGAACTTATCAGCGCAGTGGACGTTTCAACATAGCTTTTTTTTTTCTTCCTGTTTTTTAAGCTTGTCCTATTATTTTCATTTACAAACATAAACCAGTTGGAAATTTAAAATCTTTAATGGTAATATAGCATAGACTCCCTTGGCTAACAGAAGCTGTGTGTGTTGTGTGTGTATATACACGTGTGTATATACACACGCACACATGTATATACACACCCAGAAGCCCTGGTGGCGCAGTGGTTAGGGGAGCTTGGCTGCAAATTGAAAGGCTGGCAGTTCAAATCCACCAGCCGCTCCTTGGAAACCCTCTGGGACAGTTCTGCTCTGTCCTATAGGGTCGCTACGAGTTGGAATCGACTCCGCTGCAGTACGTTTGGGTTTATATATACATGTAGTGCTCAAACAGGTGAACTGAAGCTGTGTAGGGTTGTGACCCAAAACTTCCTGACAATTGTTTTAGAAATAAAACAGAAGAGAGAGGGAGTGGGAAGTTTAAAGATGAAAAGATCAGAGGGGGGTTATTTGCTTTCAAAGAGATGGCGATCCTTAAAAACCAAGTTAAAATCCAGTAAACATCCCCAGCTCTAACAGGTATCCTTGTTCAAGATGAAGCCTGAGCCCTCCTGCAACTGGCTACTTATAGAACGCTCAGTCCTTTCTGTCTCCAGAACTTTTAGAGGCTTGATTATCTGTGAGGTATAAAATCTTATGAACCTATTTTCTGATAGGTCTTCTTACACTAAAACAGCTAAAGTCCACTGTCTTTTCATTTATTAGAAGAAACTATAATTGTAAACAACCATCTTGATCTTATGCCTCATCCCACAATAAAATAATTGGAAAGTAAAGATCCTAGAAAACTTAACATCAGAACCGACAACCAATATTCATAGTTTTAGATGAGAATAACTGTAAATGAATGTTTAAGCAACACACACGGCACTCATTTGATTATTTAATTAACAAAGAGCCCACCTTTCAGTATGAGTTAATAATGCGTCCGTGGGTTTGGCAGAAAGCAAATTCATGATCTTGAAATAGTAGTACGTCTCTCAGTGATAACCTGACACTTTCCAGGAGATTCTCTTATTTTCTTTGTCACTTCAGAGTTAACAGAGCCATATGGAAGTATTCGATTCCTAAAGTTCCTGAAATAACCTGCATATTCTTTGATATTAAGCTTTACTAAACAGGGTTTTTGAACTAGCATGTGAAGATGTTATTGCTGTACTTCTTTTTCTGCTTCATTTTGATTTTCAACACCAATAGGATATGGTGCTCTTCCCAAAAGAAACTGTTCCCATTTGGGAATATATTCTTCTACTGATGCCCAGTAACGAGCCTGGGGGGAAAAAAACCCAAAAGTAAAAAAGCATATCAAGCAATCGAACTTGGCTCTTCATAACAGTCTAAATGTTTATTCACTTAAGTATGTATGTGCATGCACACACGCAGACACACACACACACACACTCACACTCACGCAATATATATGTAGAATGCACTTCCTCTGCAGAACATTTTATGTTAATTTTAGGAAAAAATCTGGCTACTTACTAGTGTTAATTTTCAAATTTCTCTGTAAAACCAGAGGCTGGCAGAATTACAAATCTGGGGATTTTATTGTGATTTTACACGCCCTCTTGTGGCCAACCTTGTGGTTATTGCCAGTAATAGCGTTTGTGGCTCTACGATAATTCAATGGTTTGTTCAGTGTTTCAAATCCTACACCAAATGATTGACTACCCACAATGCAACTGTCATAATGAAACGATTACACGTGAACACATGGTTCAGAATGAACATCAGAAGATCCCACCTAGGATGAGATCAGGAACTGACCTAGTTAGCATGTTGCTAGTATGTAGTTAGTATCTAGCTAGTATGTCATAATATAGGACTCAGGTGAACTGGCCCCTAATCGTGTGGGGGAAAATGTTAAAAATATGTATTTACTGTATCTTTTAGAAGAACACCTGGTATGACAAACCATAATTTCCCAATTTTTTTTTTTTATGATAAGAAAATAATATGGTAAAACCTGCGAAAGCCGGAATCTGCGTAAGGCAGAACGCTGGCAGAGAAGTAAAATGCAAACGTTTTCCACTAAAATGAGTGATGGAAAAATGTAAGCGTGCACTCTGTCAAAGGTGGAAAACTTGCGAGACCCGGAAAGACAAGGCAGTCCCGTTGAGTTCCGGCTCTCAAGGCTTCACTGTGTCAATATCATCTAACCATTTTCAATACAAACAACTTGAAAACTGAGATGCTGTGTTATTGGCCTGACGTCTAGTGACTACAGGCTACAGAAGCACATGAACATCAATCACCACATTATCTGCACGAGCTTTGCTGGTTTCTGGAGTTACTGCCCTAAGGGTGCCAAATAAAACCAAACTGCCAACAGCAAGGGCATTTTATATTAGATCATCACTGCCAACCTCATTTTGGGAAATTCAGCCAAAGAATTAGATAGCATCAGGAACACAGGCTTATTTGCGATGAGCGTTAAAAAGGTACAAGGTTCTGAGAGTGGGAAATGGTGAGGGATTCTACACATTCGTTCAACCACACATGTGGTCTGAGAAACAGCCCGACATAAAGGTCATCCTGCGGTGCAAGGCTAGCCTGTGGCTGGAGCTTCTCAGCCATTCACATTACTGCTCAGCTGGAGTAACCCTACTGTGTGGGCCTTCAACACACCAGCATAAGGCACTGGAGAATTCAACAAAGAAAAAGACACATCCAAGGCACAACCCTGTACCAAAGTTTCTTCAGGCCTTGACCGCTGACTTTTCTTATTACCCTAGATGACACAGAAAATTGAGGGGCAAATTCTCAGACTGTAATTTTGAGTCTTCATGTCATGGATTAGGCAGGAAGCAAAACTATATTTGGGAAAGGTCATTAAACATAAAAACTCAAACTATTCTATGTGTAGTAAGTTCACATTCATCACAAACACAGTCATATACCAAATATGGTTTATTTTTTGCCAACTATCTTCCCAATCTGTTCTTGAACTGAGCAAAATAAAACCGACAAAAGCCACAGTATACTGCATGATGATCTGCACTTAAATGGCTGTGGTTAAATTTCTGGTGAAGGGCCTGAACTTTTCTAACAGGAAAAGCCCTTTGGTTAGGCATGCTGCCGTCTTTAGCTTTAGTGCGTATTGTCTGCTGTGATTTAACAGGGTGCTTGCTTCCAACTGACAAGGTGAAAAGACACAGGATCTTTATAAAATTTCCACTGGATAAAAAATAATTTTAGATCATAATAGTTATCATTTACCCACTATACATAAAGCATGGCATTGTGGATATATGAAGATCAGTCAGACACACCCTATCTTAGTGAATGAATAAATCTGGGAAACACACACTTGTTTTGTGCTGTCAAGTCGCTTGTGACTCACGGTGACCCCCTGTGTTACCGAGTAGAACTACACATAACCCTTGTTTAATTTAGGACGCACGACTGACAGAGGGGCTCTCTTTGTACGTTTGTTAAGATTCTCACCTCAAGAGAAACCACCTCAGGCCGTGGAAGTGGGTGAATCCTGGTCTGCAGAGACTTTGCTGCTGCTTCTATATCCTGTAACAGACACTAGATTTTTAAAAACAAACTGTATTTACATAAACATACACACACGACAGCGGTACTAACAGTGTCTGTATCCCAGTCTCTCACTTTAACTCCTCTGGATACACAGCGTGAACGGAGGGGGAGGGGCGCTGAGGCAGAAGAACTGATCAGTGGTCAACCACCCCAGTTTCAAAGTGGAAAGTGCAGTACTTATTTTAAAATAGATGGGGTGGTGGTACTTCTAAATTCTGTCTTTTCACTTTAAATAGCCAGTAAATGCCAGTAATTCTTGCCAAAAGAGTTTCCTGTACAACTGCTCAGAGCATTAACTTAGCTCTGAAGTCACCTAAAAACGTCAGATGAATAAAGCAGTCAAACATTGAGATACTAAAACATTCAGATACTCAAACCCACACTGTGCCAGCCTTAAAAGTGAAGAGTTCCAGTCTCTCAAGATTATGTGAATGTATGTAATGGTGTAACACTTATTTAAAATTCCATTTTTACATATCATACTTATGCAAATTTTCCACATACTAAAAAAAATTCAAAGAGGTAGCTCAATCCTTGACAAGAACCTTTCCACTATACTGTCTACATTTTTAATACTAGATTTCTAAGATAATTTCAACAGCAAATTTTATTGCTAGGTAGTATATCATTCAGCTGATGGCATTCAATTATAATAAGCACTGTGCTTTAATTTGTAGTTTAAATTTAGACGTATGTATTTTCTCTTATGGCTGTAAAAACTCAAGGGTAAGTAAACTTCATCCATACTCTGGTAAAGACTTTACCTTGGCACATGCATGAAGTATATGCCCCAAAATGTAGGGCTCTGGTTGTTACTGAAACATCTGTGCCGTTTCATAAACACTCCCCAAAATCACCTATGTTGTGTCTATTTATCATGTTTGTCAAGTTCACAGAGGCCCTGGTAAAAGGCTGTGTAAACTCTGTCTCTGTTGAGCTCAGTGAGTTGCTAGAAAAGAGAAAGTTCTTTGATCCATGTACAAGCATTGGAGCAATCTAAGTACAGGGCTGTTGGACAGACGGAGGGAGATGGGAAGGGACGTGGGAGTGGGGTGTGAAGAAGCCAATGCTGAAGAGGAGAAAAGAGATAGCAGATGGTAGCGGCGGGAGCAAGGAACGGGTGTGAAATGTAAAAGGGAAAAACAGGAAATTCCCTAAAGGGACTCCCCAAAGTTGTACAACCATTGATGCACCTGCTGTCTAGAAGAAGGTAATCTGAAGGGGAAAAAAGCATCAACTTAGGGCTAAAACGCCCATCTAGCAGAGGGTCTACCCTGTATTAGAAGTTTACAGTAAAGGCACATGCTAAAGAGCTTTTGAGCCGATGCCAAATAAGATGCAGAAGCCAAACTATTCTGTGATTGCACTGAGATTTTACAGGGTCCTAGGAAAAAGATTTTTTTAACTTATAAGTCAAAACCAGAACACAAACAGAGTAACCACAACTCCCATGACACCATTATTCTAAGAATGGTTATGAAGTTACTATAAGTGACAGATCTAGGTGCCACTAGCAAGTAGACAATATTATAGGCATTTTTCTTGAAGTCCAGAAAATATCTTATAGAAGAACAGATATGTTGGGATATGTGGCCTGGGAATGCAGGCCATAGTTAGAAACTTGACTGTCATCTCTACAGCATTTTGACAGCGGATTATCACCCTTCTAAGAACTACTTCTTGAGCTTAAGTGATATTTCACTTTCTTAGATTTTTTTTTTTAATCTCTCCGACTCCTACTTTTCTTTCTCCTTAGCTAGCTCCTCTTTTCTCTCCTTGCTCCTAAGTGTGGGCTTTCTTAAGATTTGTGACATCTGTCCCCATGTTTTTACCTTTTCTCTCTCCAAGACTGTCTCCCTTATCTTCAGCTAGTACTATAGAGGGATGGCTAACTTTTTCTTCACTGTCCTTATTTCTCAACCTAACTAAAACTAAGCTAACATCCTCTCTATTTAATGTCTTACTGTCAGTGGGAATTACATTCACCTAGATATCTAGGCTGTATCTTTATATCCAAGTCTTTTCAATCCCTGCCATTTTAAATGTCAAAGCTCTGTAGGATTGTGCCTTCAAGATGTTTCCTCTAGTCTTTTCCATTTCATTTCCAATGCTGCTGTTCTTGGTTGCCGTTGAGTCGATTTCAACGCATGGCAAACCCCATGTCTGCAGAGTAGAACCACACTCCATAGGGTTTTCAAGGCTGTGACCTTTCAGAAGCAGATTGCTAGGCCTGTCTTCTGAGGCACCTCTGGGTGGGTTTGAACTGCCAACCTTTCAGTTTACTCATGATTAGGAAAGGTAAAATATGAGCACAAAAAGTCATGTGCTGAGATGTCTTCTCCTCCCCTCCTCTGCCCCCTCCCCGACAGGTGTCCCCATCCCCTAACCCAACATTCTCCATCTCACTTTATATATATGGTGAACCCAACTGTGGCCAAACTTGTTTTAAGCCTTTAATCTTAAAGGCCAATTTCTGAGACAGAAAAAAAATAAGATAAAGCATGAGCTACGGACTCACAGGTACAAGGCACACTTAAGCATTCATTAAGCTTATTCTGTCACTGTGCCTTCAATGAAGTGGAGAAAGTGAGAAATGCATAGGGGAAAGAGGAGACATGGGCTGTAAGTCACTGGCCCTCCTGGCTGGCAGCTTGTTGAAAGCCCTGCTTACCTGCCAGCTCACCATGAGGGCTTAGGGCACTCCTCAGTGGAAGCCCTGTGTCTTTAATCTCTGCAGCACTTTCCCCTTCTTTCTTACCCTAGTTGTCTGTCCATCTTCCTCGTGAAATGGTGTTAGTTAGCCCAAAATTGCCTTTCTGGGTAAAGCTAAATTTGGGATGCATGGCAGTTTATATCATAGGAATATTTATAGAAATAAAATCCTACCTTCCTCTTCCAAATCCATACCAGTTATGCTTATTTTTTTGAAAAGGCAGATAAGTTTCACTTTACTTACATGAACGGGCAAAGTCGCTCAGCCTGTGTTTTCCAAGTCCACTGTCCTTCATGATTTTTAACGACCAAAGCAAAATTTTTGTGAACCTGACTGATTTCTCACTACTCATACTCGTATCCATTCATGCACTAATATGCTGTAGTATCTAACAGGGTTACTCTCCCTTATTCCTTCTCTTTTAAAAACATTCTTTGACATTCTTGCTAGTTAATTTCTCAAGTGAACTTAGAGAAACTGCATTGAGTTCTCTGTAAATTCTGTTAGAATTTTATTCAATCTAAAAATAAGTTTATGAAAACTGGTTTAAGACAAACACAAATTTCAGCAAACATTAAGGCATATATTTCTGTTTAAATTTTCTTTTAAATCTCCCATTAAAATCCAGTAATGGTCTTTACGGTGATTATGCATATCCCTTGTTAAATGCATTCTCAAATATTTTATCATTTTATTGCTAATATGAATGTGATCTCTTATATTTTCCAGCTGTATAGTATACACAGGATGGTATACATAGGATTGCTGTTGATTTTTGTGTTTACTTTTTATCCATTAATTTTACTCAGCTTATACTAGTTTTAAAACAACATTGGCCTTACTAAGTCACGGAATCATATCGTTAGAAAATGCTAGTGTTATCTCTTCCTTTCCAAAAACTAAAGCACATTTCTGTTTGGTGTTTATTATTTTGGTCAGAACATGTCAATAAGGTCAGATAATGAATGGTGATAGAGCTCACGCTTATTTTGTTACTAACTTTATAGGGAACGCTTCCAAGCCTTAATGGAATCATTTTTAAAGTACACTCTGTACCTCTTAAGTACATATTCCAGATGTAACTCAGTCTGTTCTTGATAAGGACCTTTAACATTATGGTTTCCTCATCTCTGAATTAAGGGATTAGCCTAGGTCAGTGGTTTCCACACAGTGTTCCTAGAGCCACAGCAGGCAGGCAAGGAGAGCCTGAGGGAGTGGAACTTCATACGAAAAAGGTCCACATTTATCCATTTCACATCTTTGGAAAAAGTTTTTATGCTTAAAAAAGCAGGGGTCAGGGAGTGGGGAGCTTTAGATGAGAATCTAATCTAATATTTACCATTAGAATCTAATCTAAACCTTTAGATTAGAACTGAATCTAATCTTTTAGATCAGAATTAAATGTAATCTGACCTATAGATTAGAATCTAATCTAATCCAATCTAGATGCTTCTTACAGTCTGTTATTGTTGTTAGGAGCCCTCCAGTCAGTCCAGTCAGTTCCGACTCATAGTAACCCACGCACAGTAGAAGGAAACACTGCCCTGTCCTGGCCATCGGCCATCCTCACAATCCTTGTTAAGCTTGAGCCCGTTATCAATCCGTTTCCTTGAGGGTCTTCCTCTTTTCAATGACCCTCTACTCTACCAAGCACGATGTCCTTCTCCAGGGACTGATCCTTCCTGACAACATGTCCAAAGTATGTGAGACCTAGTCTCGCCATCCTTGCTTCTAAGGAGCATTCTGGTTGTACTTCTGAGGCAGATTTGTTCGTTCTTCTGGCAGTCCATGGTACATTCGATACTCTTTACCAACACCATAATTCAAAGGCATCAATTCTTCTTTGGTTTTCCTTATTCATTGTCCAGTTTTCGCATGCATATGAGGCAACGGAAAACACCACGGCTTGGGTCAGGCGCACCTTACTGTTCGAGGTGACATCTTTGCTTTTTAGCACTTTAAAGAGGTCTCTTGCAGCAGATTTGCCCAAAGCAATGTGTCTTCTGATTTCTTGACTGCTGCTTCCACGGGTGTTGATTGTGGGTCCAAGTAAGATGAAGTCCTTGAAAACTTCAGTATTTTCTCTGTTTATCATGATGTTGCTTATTGGTCCAGTTGTGAGGATTTTTGTTTTCTTCATGTTGAGGTGTAATCCATACTAAAGGCTGTGGTCTTTTATCTTCATCAGTAAGTGCTTCAAGTCCTCTTCACTTTCAGCAAGCAAGGTTGTATCATCTGCGTATCGCAGGTTGTTAGAGTCTTTCTCCAATCCTGATGCCCTGTTCTTCTTCATATAGTCCAGCTTCTTGGATTATTTGCTCAGCATACAGATTGAATAGGTATGGCGAAAGGATACAACCCTGACGCACACCTTTCCTGACTTTAAACCACGCAATATCCTCTTGTTCTATTCCAATGACTGCCTCTTGATCTACATACAGTTCCTCATGAGCACAACTAAGTGTTCTGGAATCCCATTCTTTGCAATGTTATCCATAATTTGTTATGATCCACACAGTCGAAAACCTTTGCATAGTCAGTAAAACACAGGTAAACATTTTTCTGGTAGTCTCTGCTTTCAGCCATGATCCATCTGACATAAGCAATGATCATCCCTTGTACCAGGTCCTCTTCTAAATCTGGCTTGAATTTCTGGCAGTTTGCTGTTGATGTAATAAAATTTAAATGCAACTGCTATTAAATGATCTTCAGCAAAATTTTACTTGAGTGTGATATTAATGATCTTGTTCAATAATTCTTGCATTCGGTTGGATCACCTTGCACAGGCAGAAATATGGATTTCTTCTAGTCGGTTGGCCAGGTAGCTGTGTTCCAAATTTCTTGGCATAGACGAGTGAGCACTTCCAGCACTGCATCCGTTTGTTGAAACATCTCGGTTGGTATTCCGTCAGCTCCTGGAGCCTTGTTTTTCGCCATTGTCTTCAGTGCAGCTTGGACTTCTTCCTTCAGTCCCATCGGTTCTTGATCAGATGCTACCTCCTGAAATGGCTGAATGTCAACCAGTTCTTTCTGGTACCGTGACTCTGTGTATTCCTCCCATCTTCTTTTGATGCTTCCTGTGTTGTTCACTATTTTGCCCATAGAATCCTGGAGTCAGAAAACCAAAAAGGAAGAACATGCTTGGTATTTCTCAAGCTGAAGAAACTGCAGAAAAAATTCAAGCCTCGAGTTGCAATAGTGAAGGATTCTATGGGCAAAATACTATTCTGAAAGTCTACCAACTTAAAATTCCCTAACCAAGTCCTAATGATTTTACTTTATTAAAAGGAGGAAAGGAAATATACAATATTTCTAGATGGGAAGGATGATATATAAATTGTGCTATTTAGTTATCTTTAACCTTTCAAAAATTTTTTACAATGAAAATATATTTGATAATCGGGAAAAAATTACACACTAAACTGAAGTTTCTCATGACTATGAAACCAGGTTCATTACCTTACTTCTAGATATGACAGTAATTTCTTAGCCACCCTCCTTGTTTCTTCACTCTTGAAACCACCTTGCATTTAAATAGCCAATGAATGTTCCTTAAATACCCACTGATACATTTCTTATATAAATCTATGTTTTTCTTTTGCTCCAACACTTTCAGTACTATATTATTTCTACATATCAAGACTCAGCTTCTTTGTCTGGCCCCACAATCCCTATCCAACCTTGTCCCTGTGACTTTCCAGGTCAGTTAGCACTGTCCCATGGACATTAGCAGGGCCACGCATTCTTCTGGCCTTGGCTCTCTGGAAAGAATTCTATGGAATGCCTGCCTTGCTTTCTGACTGTCAAACACAGCTCAAGCCCAACCTCCTCTCTGAGGCCTCTCAGAATAATCTAGTTCTCAAAGATCTTTTTATTTGTACTATTACAGCACTGAGTCTATTCTGTGCTGTTTAACATTTGATCACGTAAGGTCTCATATTTTGTGTGTGACAACCTTAGGTCAACAACTAAGCCTGTAGGCTCCGTGATGTAAAGAACACTGGTTTTATACTTATTTTATTCTCCCCATTGTTGGCCTGGAGCTAGCTCAATAGTAAGGGACCTCCGGGTATCCATTAAATACTTGCTAATTAAAAGGATGACACTTGGAAACCAAGTATCACTAGCTGCAGATAGCTAGTAATCAAGCTTTCTAATTTGGTTTTTCTGACTTTTCATGGCAAATTCCAAATTATCCTATAGATTTCCATTTAAAAATAAATATTGCAAACACCATTGGGCAAGTAAGACATATGGCAATATAGAATGCTTGGTAGCACTATGGCTGTGACTTAAATTACTGTGGATCAAACTGCCAGAAACTGAGAAGAGAACTGAATTTTCCTTTCCCTTTATTCTTTACTGAGGAGGGAAGATAACTATATTATGCCTATCGATGAAAATATTTAACAATAAAAACTGAAAACACTGCTTTATAACTTAAATGATACAGTCTTACTACCAAATGTTTTAGTCATAGGATCTCTTGGAAGCTTGAGTGGAAACAAACTTTAGGGTTTTAATTATGGATGAAGCCATACAATTCTGGAAGCAAAGTACAGCAAGCAGCCAGAAATGTTACACAGATGATTTTACGCCAAATGGGCACATTGGCCAAGTGGGGAAGCCCCACGCTATCGTATACTTTGACCACCTTCTCTGTCACCATCAAAAGGGATTATATTATCTTAAATTTGAATTCTGTGTGTTGACTGTGGACCCAGGAGGGCAAAATCAAATTGACTTTATTTTTATGATGTTAAATAGTTTACAGTTGGAGCTACATACATTACGGTTACTTTATGGTCTTTTAGATCTCCCATCAAACAAAAGAAGATGAAAGATAGAAAGCTACATCTTCTATTTTTTCTTGCACAAGATGACCTTAAAATTCCTTCTGTAATCACTGATTTTCTTGCCGATTGAACAGTTAGCTTATGCAGACTATTCATCCGTCTAAAATGGGTTTAAAAATATTGTTTCATTAGTTTTATTTATTACTCAGAACAAAAAAATAATATAGATCAAAATTCTGAAATTCATGTTTTTGGAAAGTTGAGAAAATATACTAAACTCATGGAAACTTACGTTTAAAAGACTAAGGTTCCTTTTATAAGCAGCCTTAGCCGCTTGAATCTGAGATGCCTTGTCTGTGTTTTGATCTCCAAATTTATTCTCCATTTGTTGAAGTAACATTAATCTTTGTGATACTCTAGAAAAAAATGAAGATTAAATAAAGTTAACAAAAAAGCAAACGCATTATTGCTTCCCCTATATAAAAAAATAATTGTACCTTACTTCAAGTCCAACTTATTTTGAAAGCCATTTACTTTGTCGATTAAAGAGACAGTGAAACACTCAGATGAAGTTCAGTAAGTCTTAAATCACTGTGGGTAAAATTATTTTTATTTTCATTAATATATTCTTTATATATACTATAAATACATGCTTCTGTTTTTTAGCCTCCCTGGTCTTTTGAAATGATTTTATAGAGTGTTGAAGATATGCTTCAAATTTTGGTGAAAATGCAAACTGTAATACATATCCCTTTGTACACATACTTATATATACCTCCCCACACATATACATTGCTATAACTTGCTATACGAAACCTTCTGCTTAACACTTCAGTACCCCTGAATCTCATGTTACACATTTAGAATTGTGCTAAACTTCCATATGTTTGAAGAAGCAATAAAAATATTTTTCTTCTTTTTCCAAGAGAAAGATGGTGGTTGGCTATATGAGTGAGAGGCTGTGTGAATCTATGCATACTCACAGCAAGGTGAAACAGTAATTGAAGAAAGATGTAAAACGTCAAATTAATTTGTTATACATACTTTCAAAGTTTCTTACGTTCAAATGTTTGCTTTACAAGATTTTGGTCCTCTTAAATGATTAATAAAAAAAATGTTACATGATAAAAATATACGAGTGGTATACGTAACAGTCTAACCATTTCTCAAACAGTTATGGAGGTTCTCAAGAAACATTGGGTTTCATAAGGTGTTCTTGAGGGTAGAACTAAAACCTAGGTCTTTGAGCAGTAATGTTTGTAAGGGAAACATCTTAGAAGGCCAAGGAAGAAGTCCTGGTAATTAAAGAAAAGGAAAACAGGAGAACCCACAGGCAGAGGCAGAGAAGGAAAAGGTTACTATTAAATGTAAGAGCAGGACTGGCTACATCAATTGCAGGGCCCAGTGCAGAATGAAAATGGGGCGGGGGGAGCAGATGTTCTTGTTCAGAAATTAGGCAGTGACATTAGACCACTGAGCCAAGTGCCAGGCCCTACTCAGTGCAGGGCCTGTGACTGGACAGGTCACACACCTGTGAAGCAGGCCCTGGATAAACAGCTTAGAGAGACCCATTAAATATCAATGTGGAGTCTAGGAAGAGGGAGTGAATTAATCTAGATGTTAATAAGGAAGGTTGGATGGGAGACTGCCTGGGAATACTGGGTGCTATAGGCTTTTATGGAACTCTGATGGCACAGGGGTTAAGAGCTCAGGCTGCTAACCAAAAGGTCGGTAGTTCGAATCCACCAGCTGCTCCTTAGAAACTCTATGGTGCAATTCTACTCTGTCCCGTAGGTTGTTATGAGTCAGAATTGACTCGACGACAACAGGTGTTTTTTTTTTCATTAATAGTAAAAAGTAAATAGATACACAACATATTTTTACCTTTTAATCTTTGTTATTTTTAAGAGACAGTAACAGTCCCTGATGCCAAAATGTACCAACTCGAGTGTGAGAAAATTAAAATACAAATAATTTTCAGATTTTTAAATCTTCCTCTGTATGCAATGTTTCACTCATAAAGCCAGTACCATATAATTAGATTATCCTGAAAAGAAAAACAAAAACTTACACTTCTTCATGTCTTTTAGAAAGGCGAACTTCTTGAGCAAACAAGGAGGTCATCTTTAATCAAAGCAGAGTTATAAGCTTTCTGCTAAATATAAAAACATTTAAAGTTACTTCTACCATGTGTCCTCAGCTTTGCAACATCTGATAGTTTTAGTACCTCAACCCATTGGTTCCCTCAGAAGAGAAAATAAAACTTAAGATGTAATGATGTGTAAAATGAAAGAATGCATTTAAAAACATTTTTATTCATGATACATAGCTTTATGTATACCAGATGCATTCCAGAACACTATGAATTAGGTAAATTCAACATTCTTCATGTTTTCCCCTCCTTTATCCACACTCTAACCTTAATCAGAATTCAGAACAAACAAGCAGCTGGTACTGAGACTAGTAAACACTTTATTGAATCAACAGAAAGAAAAAAAATCCACTCGAAAAATTCAGCACAGGAAAACCACCCCTTATGCATGTGCGCACACACACACACTCACAGACAGAAAGGCAAACAAGTATGAGAACCAACTGGAAACTCATGGTCTTTCCTGTATTGGAAGGCTGCCCAGTTCTACCATCTCTCTTGTAAACAGGAGAGTATTTTTCAAGTGTAACGGTGGGGAAAAGCACAATTAGTCCCTTCACTTGACTTTGGCTGTTTGGCACTTGCATTTGGGGAGTTGAGGAAATGCCGTTTTCCTGGCAAACTCTCGCTGGAGCACGTTCACCTGGGCTGAAGAGCCTGGGTCAGTACAGAGGGAGGTCTAGCCCCGGTGCAAACGGTGAAGGAGCCCGTCCCCAGGGAGAAGGAGACCGCAGAATGAAGTGCCTTCCTGGAATTAGGCACTGACTTTCCTCAATTATATGAAATTAAACACGGCTATCTACTAATGGAGCCCTGGTGCCGGGTGGTGAAGAGCTCGGCTGCTCACCAAAAGGTCGGCAGCTGGAATCCTCCAGCCGCCCCCCGGAAACCCCACGGGGCAGCTGGGCCCTGTCCTGTCGGGTCGCCGGGAGCCCAGGGCCCCGGGCTGGGCTGGGTTTGGTCTAGCAGTCCGCGTGTCGAGCGCCCACAGAAGGGTTTATTCAGCACCTGGGACAGCGGTCCCCCAGCTTCCCGCCGGAGTCTCTTCACAGGTTTTCTGCCCGCCTCGCCGCCGGCCCATCCCGCCGCCCTCCTCCCGGTCTCCTTCTACAAGGAGGCGTCGGGGAAGTCCCGGGACACCGGTCCAGGTTAACTTTTCTCCTGTCGCCCCTGCCATGAGCACTTCAGACAAACCCCAAGGCGAGCTCCGCCTTCTGAAGCGAAGCCCGCGGACTCCGTGCCGGGTCCGGCCCTCCGACCTCTTGCGCAGACCCTGGGGCGGAGGAACCCCCTCAGCACCCGCCTCTCTCCCTCAACAGCATCCTCCCCGCCGGGCCTGCAGCAGCGCGCTCCCGCGTCCCAGCTGAGCCCCGATCCCCACCGCCGCCGCTTGACTCACCAACCCCCCGGGACTCTTCCGAGAAAGCGCCGGGGACCGCGGGCTGAGGGCTCCACGCACGGCCTGCGCGTCATCGCGCCGCCGCTTCTGCGCACGCGCGACCCGTCGTGGCGTCATCACGTCACTATAAAAGGCAGGCGTCCAGCGTGCGCACCGGGGAGGCGGCTGCTCTGCCTGGAGCTTGAACGTGAGCGGAGGGAACCTGCTAGTGTCGCCGCAAGCCCCTGGGGAAATCATGTCAGGATAGCTGTTTCAGGGCCTCTGAAAGAGGGACCTGCTTGTGTTACAGGGGCCTCAGAGTGAAACTGGTTCCTTCTAAGCTGGACTGTCACAGAGCGTTGGAGGGGAAAACTCTTCAACGATGTGGCCCAAAGTGTTGGAACGGGCTTAATGCGCTCTAACCAAAAACCCACACCCGCTGCCATGGAGTCGATTCCGACTCATAGTGACCCTATAGAACAGAGTAGGACTACCTCATAGTGTTTCCAAGGAGCGGCTGGTGGATTCGAACTGCCAACCTTCTGGTGAGCAGCCGAGCTCTTCACCACAGGGCCGCTCAGCGCTCAGCAAGTGTCTACTGAGCGCTTTGGGACTGAGCAAAGCCACGAAGCCCCTGCCCGCTCCTAGTTTGCAACTCCCATAGGGACAATGCTGATGGGTCACCTTTGGGAGGTTCTCTGTGTCGCTGTGAATCCCCACCTCACCCTGTGACATAGGTGCCATTATCCTCACTGGACAGAAGGGAAGCCAGCTTGACTGTTGATTTGTCCAAGGTTGTAGCAGAGCTTTTACTAAAATTTTCACAGCTCTACAGACGCTTGGTAATAATCCCTTAGGGCTGCGAAGGCATTCTCAAACATCACTGTATTTATTCCTTGAAACAACTTTGCGAGGTACGTGGTACTATCTAACCTCAGTTTACAGAGGAAGAAACTGAGGCTCAAGAGAAGTAAAGTTGCTTTCTTCCTGAAAGTTACTCAGCTGGTAAAGGGCAAAGAGCTAGGACTCCAATCCGGATGTTTTTAATTTTTGACTCCAGAAAAATCTACACGAAATTTAGCTCCTGCTTCACGACTATTGCAGATGTTTCCTTTGCTTGGAAAGTCCCTTACCAAGATACTTACAGAGGTTCAGTCCTTCATGTCCTTCAACGCTGCTGCTTTAAGAAACGTTTCCTGAACCCTCTGTGGAAAATGACAACACCAGCCCCTCAGCTCTTTATCCTCCTTCCTCTATTTTTCGCCACAATACAGCACAATTCCACATATTATATAATCAGTTGTTCTTTGTTTATCAGTGTCCCCCTTCATTAAAATTCAAACTTCATAAGGACAAATATTTTTGTCTTCTATTTGCTGCTGTATCCTCAGCAACTAGAACTGCCTGACATGTAAGCGCTCAGTAAATATTTTTCGAATGAATGAAATAATCTGCCCCTATTGACGTACCATAATAATTTAAGAGAGCTCTGTCTTTAGTTGACAGGACCCTTGGTGTAGCTGTTCCATACCTTTACTGCTTAATAAAGATGAACGATAGACCCTTGAATGGTCCCGAGTTCTAGGAATGAAATGGAATGTTTGCATGGTTACAAGGCATTCTTTTTTTTTTACATACACATTTAATTGACATTGACTACGCTCTTCTAATTGTGCTGTTATTCTCACTTAAGGTGAAGGCTTACAGGACAAAATAGTCTCCCATTT